ATGAGACGGGAAGGCAGTGAAGCAGGCACTGTCATTCAGGAAGTGACCTTAAGAAGCATCACATTCAGCATTTGGCCTAGAGGTTTTGCCCTCTCGAGTTCTGGGCCCTGGAGTGTGGGGCAGGAAAAAGTGCCTTCCTGCAACTCCTTGATCTGCTTTCCTCCTGTGAATAAATAAATATTGTATAAATAAATATATATGAAACGTATTACAATATGATATACACGCATACAATTTAAAAATATTTATTTTTATTTCATGAACGTCCCTGTTTTGTCTGTGTGAAGAGGTCTGATCCCCTGAAATTAGAGGTATAGACAGTTATGAGCTGCCATGTGGGTGCTTGGGAATTGAATCTCGGTCCTCTGGAAGAACAGTTAGTGCTCTTAACTACTGAGCCATGCCTCGAAGGGCAGTCCTGGCCAACCTGGACTTGCTATGTAAACCAAGCTGTCCTCGAATCTTTGGCAACTTTTCTGCCTTGGCTCCCCTACTGTTGGGATTGCAGCCTTGCGTCACCATGTTATCTCTTCGTTAAAAAAAAAAAAATAGGTATTTAGCTCAGAGACAGAATCCTTGCCTAGCAAGCTCAAGGCCCCGGGTTTGGCAATCTCTAGCACCAGAAGAGGGAAAAGGGACAAAATCATGTAAAGACACTACCCCACCCCAAGGGAAAGAAATTGCTCTTATTTTCCCATGCCTGCATTCTTTGTTAAAGGTTCAAACATATATTTGTACCTAAGGTGGTCCTCTATGGGTTCACTTAGAGCTGGAGTTACAGGTCTTTGTCAACCAATCAATGAAGGTGCTGAGAATCAAGCTTGGTATATTTGAAAAAGCTGAATGTTCCCTTAAGTGCTGTGCCATCTCTCCAGCCCTCTAGTTCAGGATTTTGTCTGGGGAGGACACGTAGTTTGGTTCAGGGCACAAAGACCACCAAGGTGATGGAGAGAGAGTTGTTGTAATGAAGACAGGATAATTTTCCCTCCTCACTTTTTATAATCTATAGCAGTAAGCTGCCAGAATGCTGTTCATTTATTCCTTCTAGCAACAGACATCATTAAATGAACAGTTAAAGTGCTGCTAGTTCAGGAAGCCAACCAAGGTGGTTTAGCTGAATCCAGAGAAGGCTTTTAACCGAGAACAGTGGTAACCCCTGTGAACTCTTCCAGGTGCGCTTGGTAATTGCTGAAAAGGCATTGAAGTGCGAGGAACATGATGTAAGTCTGCCCCTGAGTGAACACAATGAGCCTTGGTTTATGCGTTTGAACTCAACTGGAGAAGTGCCTGTCCTTATCCACGGGGAAAACATAATTTGTGAGGCCACTCAGATCATTGATTATCTTGAACAGACTTTCCTGGATGGTAATGTTAAGGCTATTTGTGATTTCTTGGCTTTATTTTCAACATAAGTCTCTTCCCCAACCTTTCTCTCTCCTTCTCTCTTTCTTCCTCTCCCTCTCTATTTTATGGTGGTGGTTTAGTGATTTAAAAACCTTTTCCATTTCCATAAGCACACAAATATTCACCTATCGCAAATTTCAGATAAGCCATTGCAAATGTTAATGTCAAAACTTTCAAATTCACTTGCAGGAAACTGTAGATATGTGGTTCTGGTGGTGGTACTTTATTAGCCTCAAAGTAAAGTAAAATTCGTCATGTTGATTCTTAGTATATATTGTGAAAATCGGTTTCATCTTAAAAACAAGAGAAAAAGAGGACTAAATATTTAGAGAAGGGGGAATAGATTGTTACTATGGGTTCTTTGTTCTAGTTCTACACAGTTTGAATTTTTATCATTTCTAAGGAATTATAGGGTTTAAATATGTGTAATGTTTTAAATAATGATCACTTATGGCTGCTTATGTATCAGAAAATTTATATTTTGATTTTAGTCAGTTGTCAAGAGAGCTCCTAAGAAACAGGTGTGGAATCGGAAAAGTGTAGAGACTAGTTATTCCCATTTTTGCATGTGAGGAAAGAGAAATAGAGGGTTTGTTTAAGGTAATGTAACCATTTTATGGCAGGGTCTTTGGTCCTCAAAGCCTTCAACCTGTATCATTTCCTGTTTTCTTTGCCACACACAAATTGTCCTGCTTGTTTTTAATGACAGCCCTTCAGGTAGCGTAGTGACAAGGCTAGGTAGACACAGCAGACATGGCCTCAGCCTTTCACTTCCGTTCTCTTCCAAATGGCAATCTATGGGTGATCCAGCTGCTTGCTTGCTGCTGTGCTGGTGCTAACTGGGCAGTAAGGTGAGCACATAACTCCAAATTAAGGAAGTCGTGGAAGGAAATTAATGGACCAAAAAATGTCTGAAGTATCTAGAAGGAAAATGGATATTAGAGCTAATGGGGGAAATAGATTAGGAACTCATAATCTTACCTGAGTGGAGAAGTGCCATCATTCTTAATTTAAGTGTTAATTATCCAGAACTGTATCAGAGGTTTTAACTAAATGTAGCCTTGACCTAAACCAAATGGTGTAAACAATGATTTACCTTTTACCATTACTGGCGAAACATATATCCATATATGTTAGGTGCTGGGGACTGCACTGAAAATGGAGATTAATTGATTTAAGAAACATTTTCTCAACCTTGAGCTTTATGGAAATGGATAAGATTACTTACTAATGATTTGTTTTACTTGAGAGAACTCATTTGAATAATAAGAACAAAGCAAAAATAATTGTGTAAGGATTCCATTTTAGAAGACCAAAACTTTAACAAGGTATCTTATTTTTCATGCATTATATACAATACATAATACCATATGTTGCATGCATTATGTAACAATATAATATATGTCATATATATTGTGTAATATCTGAGAAATAATATTTAGACCCTGCTTGAACTAATGCAATCTGTATCACCATTCCAGTCCTTCTTTTACATTTGCCTGTTCTCTTCCTTACCTCATATGAAACAATGGTTTATAGTCAATGTTCATTATAGTTGGTTCCTTAAAATTTCCTTTAGATTTTGCTTTTATTACATAATAGTAAAGCTGAAATATATTCTGGCTTTTGCTAAGTTATATAAATCACAGCCAAACAGCAGGGAAATAGGTTTTGTTCATTTGTTTTTGAAGTAGAATTTAAGCTCAGGTTGGTCTCAGATTTGCTATGTAGAAGTAACTATTTCTTTTGATAACTTGTTGAATTAGACAAAGCACTGACTGAATGATAGGATGGAAATGTGGAAAGCAAGGGCTATAATTCTTGTTGAGCTTCTCTAGTGAGGAAGCCATTAGTTGTCCTTACTACTGGCCTGATGCTGTTGTTAACTTGTTGAATATCATTTGTAACCACTGGACTAGGTGAAGCAACTTTGTCATTGTAAGATAAAACAAATCCAACTGACTCATAATTTTCTTCTTTCCCAGGAGAGTAGTTACATAATTGGAGAAAATTTAGAAAGATTAAGACACCTAGAATTCTGGGCAGATACAATGACAGCCAGACCAGTTTCCAGATCAAGATAAGATTTACCTCAGGATATAGAAATTTAGACAAACAACAAACATAAACATTGCTACAACCACAATCCAGACAGTTAGCAGATATCATTAGGAACTCAGGGGAATAGGAAAAGAGTCATCCCATTTGTCAGCGATCAGGACAGATGAACTGCCAACCTTGTCAAAGTCTGTTGCATCACCAGCAGCACTGACATCAGAATGATTACTTGGAATGCAGAGTTTTAGAGCTCACAGCAAAGCTAACAAGTTAGAGTCTTGTTTGATAAGAGCCACAAGTGATTTACATGTGCTAGACTATTGCTGTAAATTATGCTCAGAGCAGTGCTGCAAATTATTCTATCTGGCAAAGTTTTATAATGGATTTCCAACTTATTTTTTCTTTTTCTTTTTCATCCTTTCCAATTAGAGAACTACTTTCCTTGGAAAGATGAAAGAGTGAGCTAAGAGATAGCCAGTGTTGTTTATTTCTGCAACTGATAACTTTGCTACAGTTTAAAAAAAAAACTTTTAAGTTTTCAGTTTTTATGTCTGTCAGCAAAGGAACTAACTTTGGTTTTACATTGTTGGACAATGTTATAAATACCTTTATAATGTGTCTAGTATGTTCAAGCCACTGTTTGAAATATAATGTATGTTGATTCAAGTAGAGCATTTGAGATTATATAATGTTCTTATGGGATAAAGACACAAATATGACTAGAGGATGGTAAGTAAAACAGTCTGCAGATGAATTAATTACCACACTGAAGAATATTGATGCATAGATTTATTACATCAAGTTGACCCTCTAGCTATGAACTCTTATTTTACTTATTAATATTTGGATTACTTTTAAATCACTGTAAGAGCTTTGAGGTCAGAGACTATAAAAGCTGCACCTTATGCCTCATGCAAGTAGGTACTCCATAATAGATATTGAATGGATAAAATGAATGAATTATTGAAATATAATTTCAATTATATTTGAATATAATTTGAATATAATTGCTTGCCTTTAGTTCCAGCACTCAAGAGGCAGAGGCAGGCAGATCTCTGTGAGTTCAAGACTGGTCTACAAGAGCTAGTTCCAGGACAGCCTCCAAAGCCACAGAGAAAAACCATATATATATATAATCTGTTAGCCTGGATGGGACTTTCTAGTAGTATTTTATTGACTGATTGAAGTTCTAGGGATAACCCATAACCTCACAAATTCTAGGCAAGTGCTGTATCACTAAGCTACACTGTCAGCCCCCAGTGGTGTTCTCTTAAGTATGTTTCCTGACTTGAGCTTAATATACAAATGAATAAAGACACTCAAGAAATGGTATCGTATTTATGAGTGATGGAAAAGCTAAAATCATTAAAATGATAGCTATCTTATGAAATGCTTCTGTGGAAAAAGAATAAATCAGGAAACTTTAAGATGAAGTTTATTAAAATTAATGTGACATGTGGATTTTGGTTTTAAAAATTAGTTGCAATTAGAATGGGTGAGAGACCTGATGGCTAGTAAGCTGCCAGACTAGAGTGGTTTCACGTTGTTTTTTTTTTTTTTTTAAAATCTTGGTTCCATCCAGACTGCACAAACTGTAGTGCTCTGCATCCTAAGCTGGTCTTAATATTTGCTATTTTGTTTCTCTATAAATGGAACTTAGAGGAATAGAAGGATGATAATAAGTATGGTTTTAAGAGGTGTATCATTTTCCATGGTTATAATAAGAGCCCTTTAGGCATAGTTATTTAACTAAAAGTCAGAATGTTGTGAACTGGTGTCTTTGCTGCTAGTTTCTAGCCTTTGTTAACCAGTCATTGAGGATTGTGCTAAAAATAGAGTTTTGCTCAATCATTTTGTGTATCCATACTCATATATTGCTTCCTGGGCCTTTGGGATATCTGTTAAATAATTGGTAGCTGTACAGAAGAAATTTGAATCAGGACACTTTTAAAAAGTCTTAACCTAAAATCTTGATTATCTAAGTTGGATAATAGCTGGGTCTGATTGTTACTTTTGAAAGCAGGTTCATGGAGATATGAGTGGTATTCCCAAGGGCAAGACTTGGGTTAAGCAGGAATTTGTAAGTTCTCAGTAATAACTGCTCATCTGAGGGCTGGCTGAAAGAGCTCTCTGTATCCATTCTCTCAGGACCATTAGCAGCTGGCATTAATTAGGTGCAAGCTCTTGGGATATGCAGAGACAGTTCAAAGACTTCAAATCATTAGAAACTTGCTATTTGTCTTCAAAGATATTTACTACCTATCAGTTTGACAAGTTCTGTCCTTAACATATGCATATGCTGTTACTAATTAATTGTGTCCAGATGCATTTTTCAATCTGGCATACAATGAAGAAAATTATGTTAAAGGAACACATTAATTAATCTAGGTGAGATATGACAATGAACAAGCACAGAAATGAGGGGAGAGGACAAGGTGAATAAACACACTAATGCTGATGTTTAAACAGAACTTTTTCTTCTGATATCCTAAATCTTTCAGTAAAATTTAATTTGTCTACTAGGTAAAAAACAAACAAATAAACAAAAAACAAAAGTGTCATTAAGTAAGTAGAAAATACTAGAATATATGATATTCATTATTGCCAAATATCTCAATGGTAACCCAGAATTCTAGGTGTTATACTGTGTTTTTATAATTTGATATATAATAGTTCTTTGAAAATCATGTCTGATGTCTTATGTGTATCATTTAAAATATTTTTAAAAAGTAGGATTTAGTTTGGAAATAAATTGTTCTGGTATAATATTAAAATAAATAGAAATCTGATTAGGAAATATAAATTAATTTTAGACACAATTTTGTCATTATACATTGCAATGTAAGCATAACATTAAAGGATATCAATTTGGAATCATTTTTTCTATTTAAAGCATTTTTAGATGTATTTATTTTATTTTATACATATATTTTTATATGTTTGAGTGTTTTAGATACTTGGCATTTAATTCAGGGCCAGGTAAATGACTTAGGATATTATTTTCAAACAGAATTATA